CTTTCTTGCTGCGGGAAATTTCAATACCCAAAAAATATTTCAGACTACCCAGGTCTTTTATTTTAAAACACTGATTCAGATACTCCTTGACTGCAAGACAAGCATGTGAATTATTACCTGCTAAGATGATGTCGTCGACATAAACTAAAAGTGCAAGAGACACCTCCCCTTTTTGCATAGTAAAGAGCGTGTAATCAGCTTTTGACTGAACAGATCCATATGCCGTCAACGAACTGCTGAGTTTGGAAAACCAGTTTCGGGGTGATTGGCGCAAACCATACAATGACTTTGTAAGACAACATACTTTATGCTTAGACCCAGTACTGAATCCAAGGGGGAATCTCATGTAAACTTCCTCACTTATTTCTCCATTCAAGAATGCGTTATGAACATCAAGCTGGTGCAACTCCCAGTTTCTTGCTGCAGCCACTGCAAGCAATGTACGTACACTCACCATCTTTGCCACTGGTGCATAAGTCTCACTGTAATCTTCTCCGGCAATCTGATAATTACCTGCAATCACCAATCTTGCCTTATACAGTTCCACCGTTCCATCAGAACGATATTTTATTTTAAACACCCACTTGCTTGGAAGAGCACGCTTCCCTGGAGGTAAATCCGTGAGGCACCATGTATGGTTGTCTTCTAAGGCTGTGATTTCAGCCCTCATGGCTTCCACCCATCGGGAGTCTCTCATAGCATCTTGAAATGTACGTGGTTCATGACCTGTGTCAATAGCTGCAACAAAATCTTGATGTTGCTTAGAAAAGTTAGTGAGGCTAAGATAATTGCACATAGGATACCGAGTACCTGAGGTGACATTGGTTTGAGTAGGGAGAGATGAAGGAGTATGTGTTTCAGCTACTTGACATGCATAGTCCTGTAAATAAGATGGTTGCTTCCTGTTACGGTGCTGGCGTGTGACTGTTTGATGCAGATTTGCTTCCAGCAACTGTTGTTGGGTTGATGCATCACTAGAACTCGAACTTCTTTCTAGTAAGGAGGACTCCCTAGCGGCAACTTCGTTAGTTGGTGTTGCTTCCAGCGAAACACTCCCCCTATCGTCCAGAGGAACACATGATCCACTAGGCGTTGGGCTATCATTTGATGCATCAGAACCGTCATGGACAATTTGGCCTTCGTCAAAGTAATTTGGCTCTGTAGGCACACGAGAATTTGGTGCAGAAACAGATTGTACTGGAGCTTCGCGAAATGGAAAAATATTTTCAAAAAATTTTACATCCCTGGACACAAAGCTTTGTTGCGCTTCTATATCAAACAATCTCCAACCTTTCTGCCCTATTGCATATCCGATGAAAACACATCGTCGCGAAAGTGGAGCAAACTTGTCAGTTGGTTTCGGTCTTGTATTAGCAAATGACAGACAACCGAACGTGCGCAAGTATGTATAATCTGGTTTAACTCCATGCAATTCTTCATGTGGTGACCTGCCTTGGAGAACTCTTGTAGGTGTTTTATTAATTATATGAACAGCAGCAAGAATACTCTCCTCCCAAAAATCAACAGGGAGATTTGCATGAAACAGTAAGGCACGTGATACATTAAGGATGTGTCTATGCCTCCTTTTGACTCTCCCATTCTGTTCAGGCGTATAAACACAAGTTATTTGTTGCAAAATACCTTTTTCATTCAAGAGTTTCACCATGTTATTAGATTTGAACTCAGTACCATTATCAGACCTTATTATTTTTACGGTTTTACCAAATTGGTTCAGAACCGTAGCAAGAAATTTGCACATCCGATCATAAGTTTCACTTTTATCGGCCAACATAAAAACCCATACATGCCTACTATAGTCATCCACCACAGTTAAGAAATAATGTGCACCAGAAGAAGAAGAATTTTGATAAGGACCCCAAGTGTCACAATGGATTAAATCAAAACATTCTTTGCTGCGAGAAAAACTTATAGGAAACATTGATCTAGTTTGCTTGGCACGATGACAAACTTCACATGCCTTACATACTACTTTATTTTGCAAAGCTTTAAATTCTGGAACCAGAGATAAGATATCATAGGATGCATGGCCTAGCCTGTTGTGCAACAAGTCAATTGACTCTCCTGCTTGAACTGCCAAAGCTGAAGCACATGAAGGCTGAAACGCATAGACTCCTTCATGAAGTTCACCCAAACCAATCTCCCTCTTCAGCACTTGGTCCTGCAAAATGCACTTTTTATTAGTAAATGTAACGCTATTGCTCTTGGAGTGAAGCAATTGGGAAACAGAGATAAGATTGCAGCGTAAGTTAGGCACATATAAAACATTTGACAAGCTGAAGTTTGTATTAAACACCATCGAGCCTTGTTTTGCAGCATAAGTAATAGAACCATTTGGTAGAGTCACAGATAGAGGGGGAATAGGTGTAATGTCAGCTAATAAAGCCAAAGTGCCTGTCATATGACGTGAGGCCCCACTATCAATGAGCCATTGAGAATGAATACGCTTACCAGATAATTTTTCATGTGACTGAGGCTGGTCTACCAATGTTAACAGTTTGTTCACAATTTCTGGGGTTAAAACGGAGTGTGCAGCAACTTGAGAAGAGGCAGAATGGGAGATGTCTGGAGGAAGAGAGTTAGCAGCAACTGGGTGTGAGGCATCCATTGCAAACGTCGCATGAGCATGCGTATAACGTCCTGCCGAACGTCCTCCCCTTCCTCGTCCGCGACCAGCACTCCTGTTTGGTGGAAAACCATGAACGTTCCAGCATTTGGAAGGGTCGTGATTGGTCCTGCCACAATGAGGGCAAGGTATTCTGTCTTGTGGTTTGTTAGGAACCATCCGCTGCTGCATGGACGTGTCTGACTGCTTCATGGAATCGGTTTGGGCTGAGTATCCCACTACCTGACTCCTCTCATCTTGAACGCGAGAAATACTACGATGGGTCTCCTCTTGAGTGACAATTGCGTACACTTTGTTGACACTAGGAAGAGGAGAAGTGTTGAGGATATGGGATCTCAGATTGCCAAATGTAGATTCATCCAGCCCCATCAAAAATTGATAAACGCGATCATGCTCTTGCTCCTCCTCGATTGCTTTGGCAATGGCACACTTATCACCACAATCGCAAGACTTGCGAGTTTTGCTGCCTTCCAAATCGTCCCATACAGCCCTGAGTTTGGTGTAATAATCACCAACGCTATCTCCATGTTGCTTGATATTGGCTAAACTGGATTTCAGTTGATACTGTCTTGGAAAGTTTTGCACTGCATACCTTTCCTCTAGGTCATTCCATAAGTCCTTGACGTCATCAAAGCACTTGATGAATGGTTGAAGTTTTGCATCAATGGTGTTGTGAATCCAACCATTGAGCATCGAATTGCACATCTCCCAGGCGCGCCACTCTTCGGCATCATCCTCTCCTGGTTTCTTGATTGAACCGGTCACAAAACCCAATTTGTTTTTCGCCTTCAATGCGTTTTTCATGAGCTTGGCCTAGTTGTCATAGCTGACCTCACCACGCAACATGACAGTCGTTAACAAGAGACCTGGACTGTCGGATCCAGCCAAGTAAAATGGCGAACTAGGATCAGTTGTTTTGGACTTGCTGCCACCACCTGGTGCCATGTTAAATGAACCAGCTTTCGCACTGAAAGGGAATGCGAAAACGTGTATACTAGGATTGCTCTGATACCAAGATAAACTTGATATTTCAACTGTGTGTTTATCTCATTCATTGGTAGCCTTTAAATAGGCGAACATACAATAAATGGTAACAACGTAACAGACTAAAACAAATAAATACTCTATCTAAACAGTCCTACAATTACAAAGAATTCAAACAATATACGTTACAAAGAATTCAAACCTACGGTTACAAAGAATTCAAACAATATATGTTACAAAGAATTCAAACAATATACTGTTACATATAATCTCCAACAGAGGGGCTTATAATTTGACTTACGTTTAGCCTGATTTGGCTTGGCTCATTTTAAAAATGATACAGATTTGAACTCATCAAAAGGCTTATTTATAAATCAAGCCACAGGCCGATTTTAACAAGCTTGACCTTTAAGCCTCTAAGTCCGGGCTCGTATTTTTTAATAAATAATATTTTATTTCATTTTTAATAAAATAATATCTTATTTTTTTATAAATTAATATATTGTTAATTTTCAATAAAATCATATCTTATACTTTTTAATTTTTCGCAATCTTCTATTTCTTATTTGGCAAGCACATATTTTCTTAAACTTGATTTCCTTCATTGTCACTGCTCTTCCATTTCTTATCTGGCAAACACATATTTTCTTAAACTTAATTTCCTTCACCGCTTTTCTTCCTTCCCTCATTCACTAAATTTCGTTACTCTTCAGCCCTTTCCTAACTTTTCTTTTCTTCCAAATATCAAGCACTCACTATTGACCCTCAACTTTGTCAGCTATAGTAAGTTCTCATTCTTTGTTCCTTTTGCTCTCTTTTTGTCTCATTGACAAATTTATTTTTTTCCAAAATTTCTATTAAAAAAAATATAATATTTGACTTACGAGTGTTATATGCATTTATATATCTTGTAAACATTCTACTTCCTTGCTATTTTTTTGTTTTTGTTTTCTAGAAACATAGTTAAATTGTTAATATTTTGGATTGTTGTATGCATAGAAAAAATATTCCACCAAATTAAATATATAAAAGAAACAAAATAATTATAATTTATATTTTATGGGAACATGCCATTTTTAAAGACTTGGTATCCAAGCCGTGTGTTTATAAAAAAATAAGTCAAGCCAAACTATATAATTTGACTTGTATAAGACTAACAAGCCAAGTCAAACTTGAAATAATTTATACGAGTCTAGTTCATTTAGGCTAAAGCCTAGTTTGACCTAACTCATTTACACATCTAGTGCTAGGTGAAAATGATGATCTGATAGCAATTGAAGGCAAGCACAAGGGTTTAAAATCTACCTCTTTTAGATTAGCAAAGCTGGTTACATAAGGAAAGTGCTAATTTAGCAGCCTATACCATGTTCAGTGAAAACAAAATAGTGGCCATCTATAATTTCCATGATCGTCTTGCAAGGGTTACCTAGCCGTGTCAATGTCTAATATTAGGCCATTCAGAGGTCAGCATTATCGAGTTCTCTATTTATGCTTATCTGCTGATGGACACACAGAAAATATAAACAAAAATAGGAGCATTTAATGTTTCAATATTATTTATACATCGGACAGAGTATAGTAACTGAAGAATGATATTTCATTCTTTTTACTGTCCTATCTAGCGAAAATATGCAATGTACTAGCATGGTCATTTGTTGGTTCTGATGCTTTACTGTTCTCCAGCTACCAGAAAATATGCAATATGCTTGAAAAATAAGAGTATGGTGGATGTTATCTTCCAGCTGCATGCTTGCATGGTATCGGTTGGCTTTGATTCTTTAGCTCATCTCCAGCCACCAAAAAATATGCAGTGTGCCTGAAAAATAAGAGCATCGTGGATGTTATCATGTGTAACCTTTTGCCAGGAAGTGGAACTTCGGGGCAGAAAATTAACCTGAAAAAGTTCATCATTTTGATCTTTGAGTCATCATCTATTTCTGGAGTACTGTCCAATGCTTGTTGCATGTGATGTAACCACCTCTCTGCAGCTTGATGCGTGACAGGAAATGGTCGATGTCGAGCAATTAGAGCAGGGTGCCCTGTCATATATAATGAAAGGAACCAAGGTTTAAAGTTCAAAGTTCAAACTTTAAAGTTTCTTGATATTAGAAGAAGTAAGTTTCCCCCTCCCCGAGACCAATACACAAAACTCCTTGCCCAAATCTCATGATCTTTTAGTCTTTTAGTCTAACATCCAATTTTAATTTCCAACAATCTAATTTTTAACGGAAATTTGGAAAAACACGAGATCTAATCATGCCATTAAAATAGAAGGACAAAGGACATAGGAATATGTGATCCGTGGATGGAATGGAACTGAACTGCAAATGAACATTATTACAGAAACTTGTTCACAATCATGATGTAAACATTTTAACCAGTATCTCAGTTAAAAAGTTGTTAAAACTCATCTAGAGTAGCTTCATTCCTAAGAGTTCACAACTTCACCCCTGAATATCATATAGTTTAGGAAGTTGCCCCATTATCTTTTACTGGTGGGGGAAGGGGAAAAATCGTAAAGGGTAAGTTCATGGGCACTAAAGATTTTTCTCAAGATAACCCATATAGGCTGAAAGTGAACGTCACTAAAACAATCCTATGTAACATTGAATCATTGATATGTTATATTGCTTCAGTACTCTGGATTTTTAATTTGTAGGGGTCAATCTAAGTCTTTCAGTAACCACTAACCAGTGCTACTATTTGAGAAAGTGATTATTACCTTCCTCCTTACACGTTTTGCTTAGAAAACATCATTTGAGGATAGCAATAACAATAGGCTTAGAAATCAGCATCCCATCAGTAAAAACATTCAAAACATCAACATAACTTGGAATCACTATAATCTTTTCATTCATTCTCCCTCAACATTTTGCGAAAAGCAATCAAATTCAAGTAACACATTAATCATCAAACATTGTCAAATTAACTACAAAACCCTACAAATTTCCAAACAAAGACAAGTGAAAAACGAGTTAACCAAATTTCTAAACAACACTTGAGGACCTACTAAAGAATCAAATAAATTGAGTCCAAAAGAACGTAGGCGGAAATATTTTTGTAATTATAATTTATTTCAGATTATAATAGCTTTTTTATTATAATTTTTTAATTTCTCAACAAAACTACGTTTTGGAAGCGAACTTAAGTTCACCGTAGGAACATTAAATCCTTAACTTAAGTACATTTTTTTTTCAATTTTCTGAACCATTTTGAAATGCAACCAACAGATATAATAAAGTATGATATAAACACTACCTCTTCTCTGAGAATATAGAGAAGGACCTCCCATTCTTTGCACGAAGAACTCGTATTGGTTTTGAATGGCGCTTTCTTTCTCAGAATTTGCAAATATTGAACGAAACCATTCTTCCTCGTCATCATAAACCCTACATCCAAGTCAAACCCCCAAAAAAACATAAAAAAATGGAAATGAAAAATTAAAGATAAATAAAAAAGCAACATTGATTGGGTTGTTAAAAAGTACCTATTGTAGAAATTGGTGGAGAGGTTGATGAAGGTTTGAAGGCTAAGTTTCTGGAAGAGATTGGTGTCGTCTATAGCGAAAGCGTCGTCTGTGGGAACTCCGCTCCATTCAGAAGCCTTCTGTTGCAGACTCTGCATCTCTAAACGACAGGCTTCGACCAAAACGGCAATAATGTGAATTGTGGAGCCAATCACACTCACTGCGATATATAATAGAGCTCGTGAATTTCGCGTGGATCGCACGCTGTTATTATTATTTTTATTTTATTTTTTCTCTGTTTGTGTGACAAAACGGTGGGCGCTGCTTTTGTTTTCCTTTTACAACGTATTCTAATACGAGTGAGGTAACAATGTCGTTACTTATTTGACATTTGATGCTGATTAGGTTCCAAAAAAAATAAAAAATAAGATGCTGATTTAATAATTAATAATTGTGTATAAAATGTAACAATCACTCCTCTCATCTTTGATTTTTATATAGTTATATTATATGATGAATTTCAATTATTTATTAGTAAATTATTGGTCAACAATTAATTTAAATATATTTTTTTATATAAGTTTTATCATTAAATTTGTGATTGTTAATTTTTTATTTAACGATAGAAATCCATTATATGACACAGTCGTATTGAAATTAAATATAAAAGGATCATATTTACCAATATATATATATATATATATATATATATATATATATATATATATATATATATATATATAAAAGGATCATTTCTTTCAACTGAAGCGCATCTAAAATAATATTATAAGGATCATTTCTTTCAACTGCAGCAGAGCTAAAATAATATTAGTTGGCTTCTGTTTCCTTCCTCTCATTCGCTCCAACTTTCTCTTAAAAATTTTTATGAACGCTTCATTCTTTTTTCATGGCTTTAATCTTTCTACAGTGAATATAGATAAATTATCTACTTTTATTTTCAAAATAATATCATTGTGAGTTGAAAGATTAAAAAATTATAATGAAAAAGAATATTATAACCTTGAAATAAATTATAATTACAAAAATTATCTTGATTTCTTTTCTAAAACAACTTCGTTTTGGGCTCAACGTAGATAACTTATTTACATTGATTGCAGAAAAAATAAATCTTTTATTTATAGGCAATATTTTTCACAAAACGCATGGAATATTTTTTTTTGAAAATATTCCAATCGGTTCATTGCTTCGCAATTAATCCGATTCGGGGCGGGTCCAGGATTAAGGCTTTAAACCCCTCCCAAAGGTGGTACTGGAGAGATTCGAACACATGTTATTACTCTCATGCGCCAACTGAGCTACCACCATTTGGTATAGGATATTGTTACTACCAACTTTTAGTGTTACTATCAATATCATACCAGTTTGTTTTACCGTTAGATCGATTATGTTGATCTAACAATTTTGAATTAACTTTCTAAAAACCTTCTTTCTTTTCTTTATATTTAATACTTTATATTTATTTTCACCTTTGTATGATTATGATTCCTCACATTTAATGTGTTTCGCATTATATATGGAGAATCGTAACCATACAAAGATATAAATAAATATAACCTTTGAATCAATATAATCGATCTAATAGTGAAATAAACTGATAACAACATTAATAATAACACTAATTGATAATATCTTATCTCATATTTTATTGGTATTTTATTACAGTAAAATATTATTTTATTTTCCTCTCATTTAGCTAGGAGTATTGCATGAAAAGTCTATGATTCCCCTTCGTCAAATTGTAAGACGTTAACATGAAAAGTAAAACCAAAAATAAGAAAAGAAAGTAAGTAATGGAAAGAAAAATCCAAAACTGTGCAATAAATTATTATTATAAATAATAATGAATTATATTGTAATAACTTTTTACTAAGTTGATTTCAGTATTATCATATTCATAATTGGAAGCGATTTTTCTAATGTATTTTTTTTTTCGTTCTCAAAACTCAAATTCAAAACTTCTAATTAAAGAAAACAAGTTTATGTCCATTTGAATCAATAATAGACAATAAACTTTAAAATTTGAACATATAGACTTTCATATTGTCAATTAATAAAGTTAAAAAACTTAAAAAGAAAAAAATCTCCACACATGAAGATTCCTAAATCAATACAGGAATGTGGCATAAGCCCCTTTCAATCTTGGAATGCTAGTGTATTTAATTTAGTATCAACTTTATGCAATAAATTATTCTTAGGGAGCGTTTGGTATAAAAGATTTTTTTTATCGGAAAAAAAATATTTCTAAGAATATGGTAGAAAAATATTTTGCACGGGAAAGTATTAAAAAGATGTTTGGTAGGCCAAAATATTGCCGAAAAAATAAGATTAATTTTACTGATGCTACGTTTGGTTGATGGTAAAATATTGATGGGAATATTATTGAATTTACCAAATTACCCATCCTTTTTTTGAATTTTGTACATCTATTATGAAACATTCATTTTAGTACTTGGTCTATTTCTGTAGGTTGGAAAAGTTGTTTATGAAAATTCATGTTAGCTCTGTCCCTGTAACCGGTGTTGTGGCTGCCAGAGATCTCATCCACACCGCAAAAACATGGTAAAAAAAATTGAAACTTTGAGAAAAGTAACTAACCAGGTACAAGATGGGAGAACGCTTATAGTGTTGTGGTCTGGTGATGTAGGAAGGGGAAGGAGTAGGAGGAGAAGATGGAGGAATAAGTGAGGAGGTTTTGGGAAGGTTGTCGTCGGAGTGAGGAGGGTTTGTATCCAAGCGTAAAGGATGAGGAAGGAGGTTGTGGGTGTTGAGGGATGAGGAGGGTCTTCTTCTTCTTGTCTTGGTGGCTGTGCCAAGGAAATAAGGGTAGTTCCATTGCTCGTACGAGAAATCGACATTATTTTTTCCGAAATCAACGGAAAAAATAAATACCATATGTAAAAAAGGATTTTTTTTCCCGGTCCTTAGTAAAAAACTCAAATGCTGGAGATCTTTTTTACCTAGGAATTTCTTACATATCTTCGTACTAAACATGATAAAAAATTATTACCAAACCCACTTACCCATCATTCCAATCAAAAAACTCATACCAAACACCCCCTTACTCCCTAAACTGTATTATACTCTACAAGTTTAGTAAAAAAAAAAAAAAATAGTACAAGAAAAGTTTAGATGTGGTTCGTATAATATCCTTCACCATGAAATTTAATTAATTGCTTGTAATAAGGCAATTAATCTTGTATTAGTGGGTTGAATTAGGTAAAATATATAATTAAATGAATTAGGGTCACTTTTGAGGTAAAAAATGCAGTAAGTGAAAATTAAGGGGTAAAATGGGTGTAGGCAAAAGTACCCAAAATATAAAAGTAAAAGTGGAAATATTGCTATAAAAATATTCCAGAACTTTGAGTAGAGTTTGGTGGTGAATGGAGGTGAATAGATAGATAAGCTATTACCAGGTGGAAACAACTTAACTAAGTTAAGTTGTGAAATACAAGACCAAACTTCATTTTCTTCCTTCTTCCACCAGCGGAAACGTGAGAGAGGAGAGGAGAATCCATTTTCAAGCCCCAAACCCTAGCTCACTCATCTCTCACCCAAATCCTTCCGTTCCAAAGCCAATCTTGCTTCAAATCTTCCCCTCTTTGTGAATCCAAGCTTAGTTTTGAGTGGGAAGCTTTGTGGAGTGAGATATTTCCTTCCCAAGAGTTCGACTCACTTGGTGATTGAAGGAGTTTAATGGCATTTTCTTCCATGGGAGCTTAGGATACTACCATTCCTTGGTTATGTGATCTTTTAGGGTAAGTTTTCACTCCTTAAACTTAGTTTTCATGGAGATTGTATAATGGAGGAAGATGATAAATAGTGCTTTTGGATTGTATGAGTTTTAGTTTGATTTAAGCTTAAATCCTTTGTAAAAGTTGTTAGAAATGATAAATAAACGGTGGAAATAAACTTAGATAGTCATTTGATTATACTATGAAAATTGCAAAAATTCATACTTGGACATGTGGAGTTTCTTGCATTGTTGAGTCATGGTTGGTTGGATGGTTGATTATGTCCCTTGTGGTGATAGAATTAAGCCTTGTGGACCAACATTGAAGGACCAACCATTGGAGGAAGTCATGAAGCTTGATTAGCTCACTTGAATTGGTAAGTTCATGCCATTGTGGTATGAATAGGTTTGTTGGTTGATAACAATATTGATATTCATTGGATTGCCTTGATAGATTGTCTAGTACCTTGATGTAGGTATTGATTGTTGGTATTGTTGTAAAGCTTGGTTTATTGCTTATTGGTGGTGAACAAAGGTTAAGCTTTTTTTTAAGCTCATTGAGGTAAGCCTTCGGACTTTGGATGTTGATCCTTTTATTGTTCCATCAAGCCCGAAATGGGTAGTGGTTGTTGATAGTATATGTAAATACAATAAAGTAGTTTAATGCTTTGTTATACGTATGTGTATGCACTGGGTATAGCATAGGATGGTGGTTCCTTATGTTTTGTATGTTGCATGACGATGCGTAATACATACTTGGTAGTTTAGTTGGCCAGTAGGACTATTTGCATCTGAGTATCCTTAGGATAGCATGAGAGCTCGAGGGATGTCTCTTGGAGATGTTTTTACACACTGCATGGATATGTATTTACTGCATTATTTACGGTTATTGCTATTATACTGTGAGTGAACTATGGGGTGGAGAAATTCTCCAAGGACTCCTGGTTTATTGAGATGTATTCGTATATCTTATCTCGTGTTATGGGGACCCCCTTTCAGGTACAGATGCTGCAGGAGCCTCTGGTGGCAAGTGGCCATACTTGGATTAGATTGATAAATGAGGATGTTGCATTATTTTGGTTATACATGTCATTTAGTAGTTTCCATGTATAAGATTCACATTTGAAAGCCATTTGATATATGTATATCATGTTTTATTTTGGTGGACTTAGCCTATGCTCACTTCCGTTGGTGTCTCTTTTGCTGATGGGAGCCAAGGATTTGATCATAGTATTTTGTAGCTAAGTCCCATGGTTATGTATAAATGACACTTGGATATTTTGTAATATTGTACTTATTGTAGATATGATAGAAGGGCATAGATGCCTATTTGATAAATGTGTGTCTTGAAATAACTAAGAACCATGTAATAAAGTGGTAGTATAATGTCTATTAGGTGTTAAGAAAATAATGAAAGAGGGAGGAATTCTC